CTGTGGCTCAAGTGGTAGAGCGTTAACCTTGAGCTGAAGAGCTGAGGGACAGCACCCAGGCCCAGAGTTCAGGCCCCACGACCGGACCAAAAAAAAAAAAAAGTGTTATTGTCAAAAAAACAGTTTTGTAATCTAGAAATTTTCATATTATCTGATGTTTTTCTTACAATGATAGTATTCATAGATTTTCCATAAAATTAAGACCAAAAAAAAAAAAAACCTCTGGGAAACTCTTCCCAATGAGTTATCAGTTCCTAACATAAGAAAATAAAGAATTCAAGAATACCAGGAATGCATAGCATTTAAATGTTATATATAAAGTCAGTATGTTTCAAGAACTTACAAATAATACACTCCTGCAATCTATTCTAAAACAGTAACTAGAAATTTGTAGATAAAATTTATAAAGCAATGCAATTATTGATAGCATTTTTGAACTGTCAAAAATTATAAGCAATTTAAAAACTCCACATTAAGGAAATGCCTAAAGACCACAGTATTGTTATGTCAAATTTATGAAGGCTTAGAAACATTTTTGAAGTGATTAAAATAATATTAGGTAATGCTTACCAGTGATAAAGATGATAAAAACATGTCTATAACATAATAATAACTACATATACACAAATTCTTAGAACTGAAGATATCTCGAAAATGTGACACTTTGGTATGATTTTATTTTCTAAATTAGAGTTGTGTTTTCTAGGTTTCTCACATTAAGTGGTAGTTATTTTTATTACTTAATACAAATAAGCAAATCACTATGCTTTTTGTGGAAGAGTAGGGATATTTGCCATAGGAACAGTTTTTGAAATACATATGGATCATAGGACAGAAATCTTATTAAGAAAGGATTTGATACCATAAGGGGACAGGCAGTAACTAGAGCTATCAATTCTAGAGCTGTCTAGGATAGTTTTTTATAACTCATAATAATTCTAATACCATGTACTATAATGCTATGCTGAAAAGGAGGTTGCCATGAATTACCTGTACTGGGGTCAGATTGGGGATTTTTTTTTTTTACATGTGATAACAATCATTCCCTGAATCTACAGAACCAGTATAGCATAAACTTAAAAGTTTGAACTTTTTCAAGCCCCATGACCGACAAAAAAAAAAAGAACCAAAAGTTTGAACTTTTAAGTTAGACTGGCTAACAAATCTGTCTCTGCTACTTCCTGGCTATATAACTTTCAACAAGCATTGTATGAGTTCCTATTTCAATTCTTGCTCTTCTTTTCTGGGCAATTGTGGTTTCCTTCAGAAAATAATTATTGTGCCTATATTTTCAGAATTTTCCTTATGTTTTACCATACAGGTTTCAAAGTTTTAGGCCCTACTTAAAGATATTTGATCTATGTGCAGATGATTTTTATACAGAGTGAGAAATAAGGATCTAGATTTAGTCTACATGCTGCATGCAAATAGCCAATTAGTTTGCCCAGAACCATTTGCTGAATATGTGTGTGTGTGTGTGTGTTTGTGTAGCTTTAGTGTTGGTTGCTTTATAATCTAAACGTACAAATAATTGCTGAATGTCAGTCATAAAAGACAGGAGTTTCTGGCTAAAGAAAGCATGAGAACAACTATTAGTAAGGTAGTGTAGGGGCGTGTGTATAAATAAAATAAAGCTATTTAAATATATAATAAAATTTAAACTTCTCTGCTTTACCTTTTTCCAAAAATATCTGACTATCACTTCCATCACTTTCTAACAACTGTTCTTCCAGTATCATGCTGTCAATTGAAATAGTATCCAAGGAGATTTGGGAGGAGCTTCTTTTCATGTTCTTATAAGAAACACAGAGTGGAACCTGGTTGGGTGGGCAACGTTCCTTAGGCTTTCCACTATTAAACAAAATTAACAGAAAATTATTACAAAGAATTTTATCTTACAAATTAAATAAATATAATGTAGTTTCCACAGTTTTTAAAATTTAATGTATAAGTTCAAAGAGTTCTCAAATTTTCAATAATCTACTCCTTCTAGCAACTCTAACAATGTCATACTTTGTAATGAGTAAATGCCCCCCCAAATACATCCATATGCACATATATATACTCAGCAAAACAAAGAAACACCAAATTTTAATAGCATGTTGTTACCTTAAAGATGACTGAGGTTTAAGTGTTCTAACTGTGGATCCTTCTTCTTTACTCATTTCCAGGCTATCAGGGAGTGAAGATGCTTCTGGAAGCAAATCTTCAGCTTTGAAGATGGACTCTATGGTTTCATTTCCTTTATTAGTTAAATTATTTGAAAGCATGTTTTGATTACTGTCATTACCAAATGATGGCATTTTTGATCCTTCCCTGTAGTTTAAGACATTACTTGAATCTGCATGAGATGAATCCTTTCTGTCACTTATTTGTAATCCAATTTCTCCTGAGCCACTCTTGTAAGTCAGTCCACTACTTTCATCTTCACTTATTTTCCCTAAATGCTTATCTGATAAATACTCCAGAAAAGAAGTACCTTTCTGCAGATTTGTATCACTAGCTGATTTAAAAAGCAAAGAATCCTTTAAAGGGACATGACTAAGATCAACACTCATAGACCTGTTGTCTGACATATGATTAACAGTTACACTTCTTATTTGATTTATACCACTACTAAATTGTTTTCTTTTGGAAGATAAAAATTCTCCATTTTCTGTAGGCAAGTAATCAGGAACCATTGGGCTCACACTTTCAGAAAGAGGTGACTTAAGAGTATTGACATGATCCACTGGATGTAGCAAGAGAGCTAGTTCTGCACTTTTAAGTAAAACACCAATACAAACAGATGTCTGGCTAGCAGGACTGCCAGTCACAGCTTCCACATCTTTCCTTAAGTTATCTGAAAGGAGAATAAGTGATTCATGTAGGAAAAGTAGCAGCAGATATTGGTAGTGATTGATCTGCAAACTAACATGTTTATGAACATGAACCAAGACATGAATATCTGCATCTGATGATGAAGAGGAAAAGCTTATAAATGTATCTGATGAAGGTTTCTGACCACCATCTGTCAAGGGCTCAGATTCTGTACTATAATACTCTTTCAAGAGCTTCTTCCGCTTCAGTCGGCCAGCCAGATCACTAGATTCACTTTGGGATGTATTTAGAGATACTTGATTACAATTCTGCAGCTCTTTTTGTGACTCTGCATATCTTGTTGGTTGACAAATCCAGAAAGATAAAGGGAACGAATCTACAAAACTTATTGGTCTTCCTTTCCCACTTTTCATGCCTTCATAATCTATCCAAAATTGAGAAAAGTGTACTGCCCAAACATCCATGGCAGCAGAAGATTTAAGAGTATATTTATTCAACTCAGGAGTAATATTTCCTTTATACACTTCATGCATTTTAGTATCTTGTTCATGAGCATGTCTCTGGAAAATTGGATGTAGAAGATGAAAACTGTCAGAAGACTTAGGGAAGCGAGTGTAAGTTTTACTAAAAAAATCACAATCTTTGAAGTCTTGAAACAGAGCTTCTAGATCAGAATGTCGACAGTTTGGACAGTGCCTTGTATTTGTGGCAATCATTTCAGAACTCTGAATAGAAAGGGTGTGTGGTTGATCTTGATGACATTCAGATTTCATTTCGGAAGGAATGACAATCTAGAAGGTAAAAAAATTACTCCAGTCCAACTTATAAGCCCACATATCTTGAAGATAAAACAAGCTTATGACTTAAGAATACTATTTCTTGACATGTTCTCGACAAATATTTTTTTCTTGCCCAGGCATAAAACATTATCTCTCTTTCAAATCTTTTACAAACTGAGTTTAAGAAAACTACAGGATTGACAACTAAAAATAAACTTCAAAAATAAACATGAGGGAGACTGGGGAGGTGGCTCAGTGGTAGAGTGCTTGCCTTACATGTATGAGGCCCTGGGTTCTCAGCACCACATAATCAGAAAAAAGCCAGAAGTGGCACTGTGGGTCAAGTGGTAAAGCACTATCCTTGAGCTGAAGACCTGAGGCACAGCACCCAGGCCCAGAGTTCAGGCCCATGACCAACAAAAATAAATAAACTAAGTTTTAAAAAATGAATAATGTATATAAAATACTATAAATCATAAATCACAAATAAAAGAATACATTTAAGTTAAATGACTTTTTACTAATTGTACACATAAAAAATGCCAGTTCTGAAAAATTCATTTTTTAAAAGATATTTTAACTTCAAGTATTTCAAGAGATGACTTTATGACTGAATGAAGTGACTATAACAGAATCAGTTTTCTGGAAGAAAACTTAAGAAAATAACACTAACATAATGGCTCAAATTACTTTCTATACTAATTCCCAAGAGATAATCCAATCTTCAAAAATATTCACATCAAGAGTTCAAAGTGACTTGATTTACTACTATTCATACTCAAGAAAATGCAAAGATCACTATATAATTCTAACTTAGCAAACTGTATGTTAGAAAATATACCAATTTAAAAAAAGAAAGAAAATATACCAATTAATACAGAATTCTATAAAAATCTTTCATAGAACAAAAAATTCCTGCCCTACAATTTTTGAGTTTTACTAACATCATTTCACAGAGAATATATTAAAGGTATACAGTATATATACCGATATATACAAACAATAGGCCTAGAAATCGAAACTGACATCCATCTCCAACTCTGCTTTTATTTGCCAAACTAGTTTCTTGGGTTGTTGTTGATTTTGTTTTGTTTTGTTTTGCAAAAGAGCATTTTGAGCCAGGCCCTGATGGCTCATGTCTGTAGTCCTAGCTACTCAGGAGGCTGCAATCTAAGGATCATGCTTCAAAGCCAATCCGGTCAGAAAAATCTGTGAGATTCTTACTTCCAAGTAACCATCAGGAAAGTGGAAGTGGCACTGTGGCTCAAAATGTTAGAGCACTAGCCTTGAGCAAAAGAGCTCATGGACAGTGCCCAGGCCCCGAGTATAAGCCCCATATAGCAGAAATGAAGGAAGGAAGGAAGGAAGGAAGGAAGGAAGGAAGGAAGGAAGGAAGGAAGGAAGGAGAAGGAAAGGGAGAGAGAGGGACAGGGACAGGGAGACAGAGAGGGAGGGGAGGGAGAGAAGGAAAAAAGAAAAAGGAAGGAAGGAAGGAAGATTCTGGTGGGTACCAGTGAATCACACCTGTTAATTTTAGCTTCTCAGAAGGCTGAGATCTGAGAATCAAGGTTTGAAGCAAACCCAGACAGCAAAGTCTGCAAAACTCCTGAATTAATTAGCAAAGCTGGAAGTATAGTTGTGGCTCAAGTGGCAGAGTGCTGGCTTTGAGTGAGAAAACTAAGGACAGTGCTCAGGCCAAGCCCCAGAACTAGTAAAAACATAATGAATAAGAGACAAATGAAGAGAGGAAGAGGGAAAAGAAATAATCATAATATTCAATATACATACTATGTAATTAGCAAAATCAAGGAGATGGGTGAAGTTGGGAGGGATGGAGAACAATTAAAAAGGAAACGTTGATGAACTGACACGCTGCGTTCTAACCCATTTGTACAACTAAAGATAATAAAATGTAATTTAAAAACCAGTTTTTACTTTAAACTTCTTTCTTTTAAAACTTAAATATGCATACAGTTCAGATTATTGACTATTTAGCTATATAACAAAATAAATTAAAAACCAACTTTCCAGCTGGGCACCCATGGCTCATACTTATAATCCTAGCTACTCAGGAGGCTGAGATCCGAGGCTTATGATTCAAAGCCAGCCTGCACAGAAAAGTTCGTGTGAGACTCTCATCTCCACTTAACCACTCAAAGACCAGAAGTGGACCTGTGGCTCAAAGTGGTAGAGAACTAGAGTTGAGCAAAAGAACTCAGGGACAGAACCCCAGGTCCTGAGTTCAAGACCCACAACCAACAACAATAACAAAAACTTTCTATTTTCTTGGAAACTAATAATAAATAATGGAATAAATGTAAAAGAAATACTGCTTATCTTATTTAAAAATTTTTTAAGTTTTATTGTATAATTTACCTTTCTCAGAAAAACTTTTTTTTACCAATTCTGAAGTGGAAAAAAATTGCTCAATATTAAAATTTTGACTATATCTTTTGTCCAAATGGATAGAAAGGGGGGAAAAAACAAATTATGTGTGGGGGGAAGGAGTTTCTTACAGTTTCTATAATTGAGAATCAAACTATATCTGAAATTTCAAAATAAAAGTTAGTATCATGAGGAAGTCATTTTCTATCTGAACATCTATCTTATATCCTGAAAATTATAATGCATTCAACTTATCTTCCATATAAATGATTCCGTGCTCATAGCCACTTGTTTATGTAATACCTTTAGCATTAATCCATCCACTCGAATATCAACATGCTCATCAGATTTTGAGTCATTCAACTTGTACACAGTCATGAACTGATTAAGGCTCTGTTTTAAGTCCAGAAGAAATTGATTTAGCCATAGAATGCTTCTTTCATCCACAGTAAATTGCAGTGCATTCAGCTGGCTATACAGGTTAGGAGATGGAACTGTGAAGAAAAAAAGGTTTTCAAGTATGAATAAACAAAGCAGCCAGGCACCAATGGCTCACGCCTGTAATCCTAGCTACTCAAGAGGCTGAGATCTGAGGATCAAGGCTCAAAGCCAGCCCAAGCAGGAAAGTTTGTGAGATTCTTGTCCTCTATTTTAAAAAGCCTGAAATGGACTGTGGCTCAAGGAGAAAAGTGCTAGCACTGAGTCAAAAAGACAGTGACCAGGCTATTGAGTTCAAATTCAAAGACCAGCACCAAAAAATAAAGAATGCCATAAAAAGAGAAGAAAAAGGACATATGAACAAATAATATCAGTACAAATGTTGTATTATGGTTATGTTCTATAAATTGCGTAAGAGTAATTTTTGTCTTTCATACTTACAAAACTCCAAAACTTAGCAAAAATAATTGATAATACCAAAATAAATAGTAAACTCTCTTACTGGGAAAATCCTTTCCATCTGGATAGTAATATTCTGTGAATTCTATGTAGACAGCTGACATTTCTTGTGGAAGATACAAGGATTTTTTGTTGCAGGAAATCATACTTTTAGGGGAAGAACGACATTGTTCTGCTGTAGAGACCTGAAAAAATATCTATGTTAAAGTAGTACTACATAAAGGCTTTTCCAAAGAATTTATTCATCTTAGACATTTTCAAGTCTTGTAAAGCTATTTTAAATATCTGTCAATGGTTAACTGCTAATGCAAACTTGTATATTTAACTTCATATTATATAAAAATAATACCCACCAAATATTTAGAAAACACTATAGTCATTTTAGATCTTTATCAGTTACAAAATTAAGCTTTGTACAATATTCCTTACAATTTTATTTTGTGCCAAAAGGAAAAAGAAAATAACAATAATAATAAATGGCAGAGTCAAGATGTAGATTGAAGTCCTCAAGACCAGAATGCCTCTCCATGGGGGTTGGGAAAGTAGCTCAGCGGTAGAGTGCATGCCTTGCAAGCATGAGGCCCTTGGGTTCGATTCCTCAGCACCACATAAACAGAAAAATCCGGAAGTGGCGCTGTGGCTCCAGTAGTAGAGCACTAGCCTTGAGCTGAAGAGCTGAGGGACAGCGCCCAGACCCAGAGTTCAGGCCCCATGACCGGCAAAAAACAAAAACAAAAAAACAGAATGCCTCTCCAGAATGTGCTTTATAATAATTCACCATAACTTCTCTATTATTATGAAAACCAATACAAGTATTTAAGATTTTCAGGAAATGAAGGGTAGTATTGATTGCACATTGTGAATGTACTTAATTTCACTGAATTGAAAATTCTGTCATATACTGCAATAATTTTAAATATAACTATAAATGGTTCTGTCAAACAGTTTAATCTCTTATTTTCCAAAAGAACCACTATTTAAAAGGTCTAGTTTCTTTTTTTCACTCTACTTCTCAAACAGATCATTTATATAATTATATTGAAAATGTAATTTTTCCAAAGTTTAAACAATAAAATTTTATCTAATTCGTTTCTGTATGCTAATTTACTAGGCCCACCTATGGACCTCAAAGTTTTTTTTTTTTAAATGTTTCTTTTTTTCTTTTCTTTCTTTCTTTTTGTCAGTCATGGGGCTTGAACTCATGGCCTGGGCACTGTCCCTGAGCTCTTTTGCTTATGGCTAGCATTCTACCACTTTGACCCACTGCTCCACTTCAGTTTTCTGTGAGTTAATTGGAGATAAGATTCTCACAGACTTTCCTGCTCAGACTGGCTTTGAACTGTGGTCCTCAGATTTCAGCCTCCTGAGTAGCTAGGATTACAGATATGAGCCACCAGCATCTGGCACAACAAATGTATAGATTTCTCATATTAAGAACAATACTTTTTCCACGGACATTGTTTCATCTTGTAATAAACTTTCTATCTGTATCCTTTATAATGTTAAATCACATTCTTACAGTACATAATTTTTTTTGGGGGGGGTCCAGTCGTGGGGCCTGAACTCTGGGCCTGGGCCCTGTCCCTCAGCTCTTCAGTTCAAGGCCAGCGGTCTACCACTTGAGCCACAGCGCCACTTCCGGCTTTTTTCTTTTTTCTTATGTGGTGCTGAGGAATTGAACCCAGGGCCTCATGCATGCAAGGCAAGCACTCTACCACTGAGCCACCTTTCCAGCCCTACAGTACGTAATTAAAAAGCTTTTTATCGCATGTAAAAACTAATTCTTTTCAATCAAGTGTCTCATTTTAATTCTCCTTTCCCTTACTAAAATTAGAAAGAATATTCTCTCTCTTTCTCTCTTTCTCTTCATTTATTTTTGGAGACAAGCCTTCTCATATAGTCCAGGATGGCCTAGAACTTGCTATATAACCCAATCTAATCTAAGCTGGAATTCCTGATCTTCTTGCCCTGTCTCCCAAGTGCTGGAATTACAGGCATGAGCCACCACATATGGCTCAGCCTAATTTTTTATTTCTACCACTAACTATTTTATTTTTAGTGCATGTGTGTATGTATGTATGTGGAGGGGGGGATTTGCTCTCTTTTTCTTTCTCTCACTGGTGGTCTGAGGATTGAACTCAGGGCCCTGCTATTGTTAGACTCTACCACTTGAGCTATAGCACTAGCCTCTATTAGCACTAGCCCCTATGAGGTTTCATTACTCTCAGAAATATGTTATTATGAGTGATTCCTGTTCCTCATTAACGTATTATCTTACTTAAGTCTAAAACATATATACAGCAACAAAATATACTTTAAACATGCTGCATTATAAAAAGAGAATGTAAAGAAAGAATTAATTGCACAATGAGAAAATAACTTAAATCAGGGTTACTCAAAACTGACATTATTAGTATTTTGGGTCAGATAACTTTATGGAGAGAGTCTTGCACACTGTCACATTTTCAGCAGCATTGCTGGCCTTTTACCCACTAGATGTCAGCAGCACTCCTTTCAAGTGTGACAAACAACTTTGTTTTGTCACTCTCAATGTGACCTGCGGGACAATGGAAGCTACTTTTCAGATAAACCCACAGGCTTATCAAAAGCTAGTACAATTTATAATTTTTTTTCCCCAGTCATAGGGCCTGAACTCTGGGCCTGGGCGCTGTCCCTCTGCTCTTCAGCTCAAGACTAGCACTCTACCACTTGAGCCACAGTGCCACTTCTGGCTTTTTCTGCTTATGTGGTGCTAAGAAATTGAACCCAGGGCCTTATGCAAGGTAAGCACTCTACCACTGAGCCACCTGCCGAGCCCCCATTTTATAAATTATTATGTCTGAAATCTGCTGAGTTTTGTTGTTGTCTGATGCAGGTCCTGGTTTGTCATCTCTGAGCTTTTATGCTCAAGGTTAGTACTCTACCACTTGAGTCATAGCTCCACTTCTGGCTATTTGGTGGTTAATTACAGCAGAGTTTCACAGACTTTCTTGCCAAGACAGGCTTCAAACTACGATCCTCTAATCTTAGCCTTCTGAGGTATTATGGGTTATCAGTGCTGGCTTAAAATCTGTTATTTAAAAAAAAAGGTTCACAAAGCCATGCATGGTGGCATATGCCCTATAATACCAGTGCACGTAAGATCGCCAAGTTTGAGGAGAGTCTGAACTACATAATACACTCTCTCAAAAAATAAATAAATAAAAATAAACTGGGACTCCTCTTTAGGGCTCCTGTCTTACTACTTTCATAGTTTTCCTTTGGCTTTCAAATGAACTTTTCTCTTTGCTTAAAAACAAACAAAAAAAAAAAACAAGAAACAAAAAACTGGTTTCAAATACAATAACATTAGACCATTTTGTAAGATTATAGCCCACATAAGATAATAAAAATGAGGGTTTGTAGCGATTAAATTATGTACACAATATAGCCAATCCATACTAAGTTTAATAAAGTAGAAAAGGAATTTTAGTTTCTCCCCCACAGACAACTATATAGTAAGAAATTTGATCACAAAAGGAGTTCTGGCCTTTGTCCTTGTTCCTTTGAGATAACTAGAGCTTGTCATTTCCTATTCATGTGTGCAACTGGTAATTTCTGACATCAAAATGACTTTGGTGGGGATGGTCACATTTGATAGTCTTATTTGTTTGGAGGAGGTGGAAGGCTTCAAGTCATTTGCTATCAATCTATTCTCATGCTGAGTTCAACTACAAATTTCAAGCATATTGTCATACATGTGGTGCTGGAGTTTGGGCTTCATAAATGTTAGGTGAGCTCTCTACCACTGAGTTACCTCCCAAACCCTAAGTTTAACATTTGGAACCCTTCCAGATTCTGCTCTACACACTTTTTCCTATGTTTGGTTCTTATTTATATTGCTTCCTTATAATAAAACCATAAGTATGGTAGATTTTGGGATATGAGACAACTTAGAGAGTGCTGGCAGCCTCAAGTAATGTATCCTTGTCATTAAATTTTGGCTAATTCTAGGTAACTCCTTAAACAAAGATTCATGAGCTGATATTATCTATCCTATCTTATTGAGTCATTTTACAAAACTAGTCAAGTATGTTTAAAACAGTGGCATTAGTTGTTAAAGTTTCTTGTAAAAGACACTGAAAGTGTTCACGAGATTAATTTAAAAAAATAAAACATACCTGGTATATATTGAAATCTGCAAGTCTAACCACAACGGAACTAGACATAAGCTTAGCTTTTGATTGTTGAGATAATACTGAAGATGTTCTAGAACTGCTTTTCAGAGTAGAATCCTTCTCTGTAGGAAACAAAAACTCTGTTTAATTTATTACAAAATTCTTTTTTAATAGATGCACTTTTGTTTTTAAGAAAGCTGATGGAAGCTTAGGTTGTTCATACCTATAATTTTAGACACCTAGGAGGCTAAGATCTGGAAGATCACAGTTCTAAGCCAGTCCAGGGGAAAAACACTCAAGACTTCATCTTCAATTAATCAGCAAAAAGCTGAGCTCGGAGCATGGCTTAAGTGGTAAGAAAGTCACCCATGAATAAGAAAGTAAGACAAAAGTATACAAGCCTCTGAGTTCAAATCCCATTCTTGGCCAAAAAAAAAAAAAAAAGGCACTAAAAATGTAGGTGAACACTAACTTCTCACCCAAGAGTGTACATATGGAAATTCTTTATAAAATCATACAGAAATACTGCTCTTTTTTTGGCAGATGGCCTTGAACCCTGATCTTCCAGATCTCAGATAGGATGACAGGTATGAACTACCAGCATCTGGCTAATTATTCATATGTAAACAGAAATCATATTTTTCACACATCCAAGTTATTATTTTACAATGTTAAAAATGACAGATCTATGAGTCATTTATCAAACTGAAAATTTCTTTACTCCAATTGGTTATATTAAGTGTAAAAGTGCATAAATCTATGTTGTTCTGGATAAAGTATACAAGATCTTATGACCTTAATCAAAAATAATACTTTACAGAAAATACATTGGAAAACACACACACACACGCACACACACACACAATTAGGTAAATGCTATAATGTTAATAGGTAAAATACCTGTTTGTGTGTGCTGGGGAGAGGCATGTGTTGGGGATTTAGGAGGTGAACCTACATTATGGTCCTTTACAGCCTGTTTAAGCATTTCAACGTTGCATTCAAACTCATGTAACAGTTCATTGGCCCATCCATTTTTTGTCTTGGTTGCATCACTAAAATACATCCAGTGACTACAACTGTCTCCTGTAAAATGAATAACATCTTTTCACTGACAATGTACAATTTCCATTTATTCTCTCATAACAATGCTCTGAATGAACTTTGGTCAACTTTTCAAGGTAATCTTTACTCTTCCAACAAGCTTACAGTCTTCACCTACTTCTTTTTAAAATGAGAGCAAGACATTGAGAACAGAGGAAGAGAATGCCAAAAGCAAGTGATCTGGAGAACTTTCTATCTAAAATCATTTCTGATGGAATAGTACTCAAAGTTTCAATTCAAATCCACAGGACAATCTTCACTAGAGGTTAAATAATCTGTCAAGCCTTCATTAGATAGAATCTCAGAAAATAACATCGAGGCATAAAATCCTTTCATCAAAAATGAATATAGAATTAACTTATATAGAATTGATCCTTTAATTTATTAATTAATCCTTTTAACTAATATAGAATTAATCCATAAAATGGATAAAATATGATAAGAAATCAACAGAACCTCTCAAGATGAACTCAGTGATAAAGAGATACACATGTTTGGGAAAGGAAAATACAAAATCAACATTAACTTTCTTTGCATCAACTAAGGAATGTGTTCATAAAAAGATTATGAAAAGAAAATCTACTGTGACTGAAAGTCTTATCTTCCAATATATGAATGATTTCTACAGCTATAAGATTCTAAGAGTTTGTAAGCATCTTTCTTATAAAATGCTTTTAAAAGAAAATCAAAATAAATAGTACAACTTTGTGTGCATGTGTGTATGTGTGTATGTGTATATGCACACACATGAGTATAGGGGTTTTTTGAACTCAGGGCCTCGTGTTCTCACTCAGTTTTTTTGTCCATTGCTGGCATTCTACCACTTCAGTCAAGCCTCCAAACTGGCCTTCTACTGGATATTTTGGAGATGAAGTCTCAAGAATTTTATCTGCGGGCTGGGAAGGTGGCTCAGTGGTAGAGTGCTTGCCTTGCATGCCATAGGTCCTGGGTTCGATTCCTCAGCACCACATAAGCAAAAAGAAAAAAGCCGGAAGTGGCGCTGCGGCTCAAGTGGTAGAGCACTAGTCTTGAGCTAAAGAGCTGAGGGACAGGGCCCAGGCCCAGAGTTCAGGCCCCAAGACCGGACCCAAAAAAAAAAAAAAAAAGAATTTTATCTGCCTTAGCTGGCTTCAAACCTTGATCCTCTGAATTTTGTCTTCTGGGTAGTTAGGATTATAGGTATGAGCCACTGGTACCTGGGTCTAACCATTAAATTCTGTAAGATAGTGTTATAGAAATTATAAAACCATTTGGTAGGTAGCAATATGAATCTGAAAATATCTCTATCTTTTCAAAGCTATGGAAAATTTGTTATGATTTTTGTTTTTAGTCTTTTCCTATTGCGTAAAATTAAAAAAAAAAAACAAGACTATATACTATCAAAAGGCAGAGATGTGTGCTGAGGCTAAATTACTTAATTTGGTTATAAATACTCATATATTTTCTATTTTTATTATTTGAAAATAAAGAACCTATCAGGATCACATCTTACAGATGAAATTTAGAAAATGAGTGAAAATATTCCTAAATTTGTATTATATACAAAATACCATGGAAAATTCAAAATATTAATAACTTGCTTTTGCCACATACAAAAATTATACAAATATGTGTTAGGTTTTGTTATTTAGAAAATAATTTCCCAGGCTAGGAAGGTGGCTCAGTGGTAGAGTGCTTGCCTTGCATGCCTGAGGCCCTGGGTTCGATTCCCCAGCACCACATAAGCAAAAAGACAAAAGCCGGAAGGGGTGCTATGGCGCAAGTGGTAGAGTGCTAGCCTTGAGCAGAAGAGCTGAGGGGCAGCGCCCAGGCCCAGAGTTCAGGCCCACAACCGGAACCCCCCGCCCCGCCAAAAAAAAAAAAACATGGCTTGGAACATTCTAGGAACGTACTTTACTACTAAAATACACCCATACCAAAATCAATCAATTTATTTTCTTTCCTTCCCTTCTTTCTCTTTCTTTCCTTTCTTTTTTCCCTCCCCACCTCCTCCCATTTCTCTACTTTTCCCTCCCTCCTTTTCCTTTATCATAATTCAAAGAATGATGCAATGACTAAAGCCTATCTGTAATCCCTACTGCTCAGGAGGTCGACATCTGAGAATAAATCTTTAAAGTCCATGAGACTCTATCCCCAGTTAACCAGAAGTTAATTGGAAGTATGACTGGTAGTATGGCTCAATATAGGGTCAGCTATGCTTGAAAAAGTTGAGCAAGAACACAAAGACCCTGTTCAAGCCCCAGTGTCCACAAATTAAAAAATAAAATGATTAGACAAGAAAAACAGAAAGAAAATGTGCAATACCTGAACAACACAATTAAAAAGTAATGTACTGATATACAATCAAGACATTGGACATATACAGAATTCACTTAAAAACTGTCCATTGCTAGCAAATTTAGTTTCTAACAATCTACATGAACCTCAACATAAATTGCATAAGTATTTTTTAAGGCAATTCTATTTTCTTGGTAAAATACCATAGAAGAAAAATAGTAAAGACCTTTTTTCTCCTTAGCAAATTAGATTAAAACCAAAGAATTAAAAATAACAAATTGAAAGTGTCCATATCAAAAAGATTAACACATTTAAAGAAATAGTTATACATACCAGCTTTATGATAAGGATAATAATCTATGGTCAACTGTGTAAAAGAGAGTTGCATAGCACCTCCAGTAATACGTCTGTTTGATTCTGGAAAAAGAAAATGATGAGACTGAGAAATATTAAGCAAATGTCAAAAACACTTAATTTACCATTGAAATGTTTAAAATAATTGGGATCTAAGTAGTGGTGATTTTCTTTTGTCATGAATAATACCATCTAATTTGTATTCATTGAGCTTCTATCATTTGATAGGCTCTAGTCTAGAAGAGGATACAAAAATAGTATCTAAGCCCACAAGAATTGACAAATGATAGTACTAGAAATTTTATATTTACAAAATACCTATGGGCTGGGAAGATGGCTCAGTGGTAGAGAGCTTGCCTTGCATGCCTGAGGCCCTGGGTTCGATTCCTCAGCACCACATAAGCAAAAAGAAAAAAGCCGGAAGTGGCGCTGTGGCTCAAGTGGTAGAGC